ACGGTTCAGGTAACCGAAGAGGCCCTTCAGGGTATGTTCGTCGAACTTTCAACAAGATCAATTTCTACTTGCTCTTTTAATGGTTCTGATAACCGATAAGGACCTTCAGTGTACGACCGCGAAAGTTTCAACTCGTGTTGCCACTGAAACAATGGCACAACTGTGGGCATCCACCTCAGACCATAGGTCTCGAGTGCCCCTAAAAAGGAAGGGGAAGAAAAAAGAAGAAGAAGAAAAAAGAAGAAGTTGAAGAAAAAAGAAGAAAGAAAAAGGGGAAGAAGAAAAAATAGGGGGATGAAAAGAAATAAAAAGAAGAAAGAAGAAGAAAATGGAAGAAGATGAAAAAAAAAAAAAATAAATAAATTTAGCCAAGCCGCGCGCCCCCCGAGCCGGCCAAGTCGCCGCACGCCCACCAAGCCAGCCGTCCGCGCGCGCCCCAAGTCCCAAAAAAAAAAAAAAAAAAAAAAAAGGCAGCACGCGCGCACCCCTTCCCAAGGCCACCTTGAACCGCGCGCTCCCATGAAATCGCGCGCAACTTTTACTACTCTCAGCGAACGGCTGGTCTGGCAGCACCGCAGCAACAACCCGTTCTGCAGGCGGAACTCTATCAGGGTTGCTAATGAACCGGTGCGTCCGCTCGATGTACCACTTCATGTACTCCTCGGCAACTGTTTCCGGCGGCCAGGCTTCAGGGTATTGCGACAGGTCAATGAAGTTGACATACTCGTTCTGCCACAAGCCGCCAGGAGCGTGGAAAGTGACTTTGTATCCCGCGCCAAACAAGTCGCGGTTATGTGGCAAGTTCGATTCAATTATCGGGAAAGGAATAGTCTGGACTCTTCCAAACTGCCGCAACGCTCGGTCGGGCATGTACGGCTCCACTATATCCATGAACTGTATCGTACCGTAATACATGCTCCGATGATGCAAGTAATGTGCACCGGTACCATACGGCGTCCAACAAACCTAAGCATATTTTAAACTAATTAGAAAAATCCGTAACTCTACTATAGACATAATTAGAAAAATTATTACTCACATCTCTTTCGGTCATGGCGTCGAGTATTTTCCGGTATTCCTGCAGCGTGGTTTTATTGCCTCCACCATGGGCCCACCTTCTGCATTGAGGCTCAAACTCGGCATATGAACGGGAAAGAGGTGGTCGAAAGCAGGGGAAATACTCAAAGATCCAGCACTGCAAACAAAAACCAATGAAACGTTGTTGATATTACCTACATAGAAGTTTAAATAAATAAATAATTACTAATAAAGGTACACGTACCAGAAGGAGAATAACACATCCACAGAGACTGTTCATCCCAGCGCGGGTGCAATACCCAATTGGCTGTACATGTTTGCCAAGCATGCCGAAACCCACGAATACTTGCCGACATTATCGAGATCGTTGGTAAAATGGATCCACCACGGCTTCATGTTACACGCTGTTTCGTCTACAAACAAAACAGACCCAAGCAGAAACATCAAGTAGCCCTTCATCTTCTTGTCGTCTGTGGCGGAGAGAAGGGTCAACTGATCTCTCACCTTAACCCAACCAACTCCCTTGTTTCGAACATCTCATTGTGTCCATCAGACCGACACCCAATACAGATGCAAGACTCTTGACACTC